TTTTGCCAACTTTCTTTTTCCAGGTAAAGGTGATATTCACCCAGAGATGAATTTGCTGCCAAAGGCTTGAATCGGATGTCTTCTATGCTGGGAAAAATGCAGCAGCATGAAGCACCCATGTATCGCTCTGATTTAGACATCCCAGAGGAATGTGAAATGTAGGATCAGAACAAGTTTTGCCATCAATAGTTTCGTCAGTACCATTTGGCGGTTATGGCAGGTTATGTAGAAACACGAGACAGCGCTCTTACACCAAGGACTTGTTTGGCTCATGGGCAACTCTCACCTTTACACCGGTTGCTTAGGACTCAGGAAAATACCTGAAAAGAAATGAGTATAAAGTCACCGTAGTTAGAAAGCCAAGCGTGCTTCTCCTGTGACCAGAGGGAAGAAGTTAATGAACAGGACGATCCGATGCCTTGGAGGCTGGGGAGGGATGGGACGTGCAGGAAGGCAACCTGCAGCCTTGGCTTTTAGAGCCACTTCTAGAAGGATAGATCACGGGCTGGAGAACCACACAAAAAAAAAGAATAAATCCAAGTGATTAAAGAAACCGTCATGTAAAATACCACCACGACGCACATATAAATAAGAGCAAAAAAGCTGGGATTTGCCTGCAGTTGTTCATTCTCCATTTTGAACCCCGCGGTGTTGGAGCATAGAGGTGAAAGGGAGGATACGTGCGGGGCAGAGTCCATCGTCCACCTCGCAACCCAGGGCAATGAAACACAAACCCAAGGGTTTCCTGCAAATCCCAAAGGGAGCTCGGCGGCGGCAGCCCCCTCCTCCCACGCCAGTCCCCGGCCGCATCTGGGGCGCAGACATCCGCACGGCTGAAACTTGGGAGCAGTGAAGCCGAAGTCAAAAGAAAGGAAGAAGCTGCCTGTAAGGTCTGGGGCGGGGGGGGGCAGGGAAAGCAACCAAACCACAAACGGATTATGAGCAATTACACATTTACAATGCCAGTCAAAGAAGCTAATATATCTCATGCTGAAGTGGCCAGCGTGAGAGTTGTGCTAGATGAGATAAGCAGCAAAAATGTACGTTTCTTTCTTAAACTAAAAGCTTAGAGCATACAATAAAACACTGCAGTTCCACCCCGGCTTTAATGAATGGATTTTTCCCCTCTCGCACACTGACATACATTTGATATAGTTATTTATCCTATATATTTCTTGCGGCATATTTCCCAGGAGACCTTGTTTATCTCACTCATAAGTACATGATGGATGTATGGTGCTTTGGATAAATGGTATCGCAATCAGATATTTTTATGGATATAAGCAAACTGGGTTATTAACAAAGGAAGGGCAGAGAGGAACCAGTACGCAAAAGAAAATAGCAAATGATTGATGACAATACACCTGAGGTTGCAAGGTGCAGGCTCCAGATAACCAGCTAACAGAAGAGGAGATAAGGGCAGCGCTTGAGACAGAGCTGTTTTCTACCTTGGGGTCAATGTCATGCCGACTACCTGAACGCCTGCATCCCTCTGAGCCTGCCATTTTACAGCGCAGGCAAAAATTCCCCACCAGGAGCGGCTCAAAAATTATCGCCATCCTTTTCATGCAGTGGAATGCAGAGGCAAAGGAAGATACAAAATATTTAATCCTACCCCAAAAAAACCTGAAACAAAAGAAACACTAGATTCTGGAGAGTTTGGGGAGGGACTGGCATTTGTTGCGCTGCTGTACCATGCTTGGCACAGCGGGACTCTTAGTGCTGCAGTACAAATAAGAAAAAAAATGTTAAATATGTTCATCATGGTAATAATTACTGTTGTCTTCTCTAGTTGTGTTGATTTACAGAAGCAGGGCGGTGTTAAGATATAAAAGGAAGACAAATCTGCAGGCATAATTTGACCTGAAATCTGGCGATTGTCTTGGGTGCTCACTAGGCTCTTTAGCCACCAAGGTAGAAGAAGGAGGAGTTGGAAATCTGGGGACTGCTAACACCTCTGCATGGACTCACTGGGTCGCCTTCAACAAATCTCCCCTTCTGGGAGAGAACCCGGGGAAGAACAACTATATCCATCTGATAGCGGGAGAAACAGGAGCATGGCAAAGTAATTTAGCAACGCTATGACTACCGCAGGGTTCGCAAGTCCCCAGCCACAGCTTAGACCACGTCCCAGCCTCACAGGTAAACGTAAAGTGTCTATATGTCATGAAAAGACAAGGAGCAAATGAATCCAGGCAGGAAACCAGTCTGATTTACCCACCCCTGATGGAGATGTTAGGGGCTGCAAGAATCAAGTTGGTTTTCCCCTGGGAAAGCTGGACATGACAATTACAACTTACCTAAAATGCCCTTTCGGGAGCTTCCTAAGCCACGTTGGCTGGATTCAGCACACATCGCAGCAGCAATGTCTTCAAGCAAGGAGGTGGAGAAGATACAGCTTCTCCATGTTTACTGAGTTTCTGTTTTTTCACAGGCAAGTGTCTTAACCAGAGAAATGGGCAATCAGTGCATGCACGCACCGCGCTGGCAGCCTTCCCCAGTTTTCATACGTGGGTTATTAATCTAAACTTACACAGAACGTGGAAGTTAGAAACACCAGTAAAAGATAGTACCAAAATTTAATGCGTACCAAAATGAAACAATAAAAGCTTCAGCATAGTATTTTTTATTACCCTCCAGGTCATAATAAATCATTAGTTAGTTGAATCAAAGCACAAAATCACAAGGACAAGATAAAGTTATGTCCTTTATGGGAGGCTTCTAAGCCTATAGGCTCAATATTCAACCACTACTGAGATCATACTTCAGTTAGACTATCCTGCTGATCTCGAAGATTGTCAAATCTCTTCTCTCTTCCTCAAAAAAAACCCCAAATATCCAAATCCAGGCACTGCCAAATCGAGGCTTTTCTGATCTGGAACAACTGTCCAAATTCAGGTTCCTACATTGGGCTGTGCTTGCCAGAGCAGAGGATAGACACACCATGGCTATGTGTCAGAGTGCCTCCTCCAGCTTGATGGTCAGGAAAGGTGGTCAAATTTACAAAAGCCACTCCACTCATCTAAGAAAGTTCCTTGACCAAATTACATCGATGCTTCTCAAGAAGGGCAGGCAACCACACTGCAGTACACGTCCTCACCGGCACACATGAACCATGATCAGGGTCCTCTGCTGCAGAGCTTCTACAGTGTCCCTTTAAAAAGCTCTGAAGAATATCATACTTAGCATAAGCAGTGACCGCTTTGACCATGACCCTAAATGAATCTCTTGGCAAATTTCTATCACACAAAAGATATCACAGTGGATAACGTAAATGTTTTGGGTTGGCAGCTCAATTATGAAGCCCATAATGAGTACAGAGCACTCTTCTTTTACATATGCAATGTGCTCTTCCTTTCTTAAAGCTGTCACAGAAACCTTATAGATAAGTGTGGAGGCGGCATGAAGGCTACAACTAAATGTATGTTCCATTGTTCAGATGTCAGAGAGCCTGAGTTATTCTTACAAGAATTACATTTAGACAACGTCAGTCTGAAAGGAGAGAAACTGGTGATACCAACCCATCATCACCAGCATTGCTAAAAACCCTCGGAAGAGTGTTTGACCTTGCAGATGTTAGAAAATTCGCACTTATGAACAACTTTGGACTGGTGGAACTGATTTCCTGGAGCAAAGCTACTGCTGGTTATTTTACAGCATGCCCCACCGAATGTCTGCAAAAATCATTAACCACCAATGAAGCTGTAGCAGGCAAGTCCCCGCTCAGGTCATGAAACGATGCACAGTATTACAGGTTCCTCTTTTGTTTGACCTGGATTGGGATGCATGGCTCCAGGGATGGTAACAAAGGACAAACCACTAATTTTACTTTGGCTTTTTTCACAGCAAACTCTCTCCAGCTCAGATGTCCTAACCTGAGTGCACTAGCAATGCAGCCGCTGAAATACAGGCTTTCACAGGCTCAAACTGATGAACCCGAGCCTGTTTTGGGCAGAGACAACTACTAAGGGCAGAAGACCTCAGGGGATGTGCAAAGATATTTGTTCCAAAATGTTCCACTTATTCTGCTTGTGTCAAAGAGTTACGGAAAAGCTGGCTGCTCGTCCTGCGCCAGCGGTGGGTCCTGGCGTGACAGCCCCCCGTCAGGGTGCAGGAGGTTCAGCCTCTCCTGCAAGCTCAGCCATCTCTCCTGCCTTCCGATATCCCCAAGCAGCGGCAGGAGCACCAGCTGCTTCCCAACTCCCCATCCCAGTAGCATCCCTCTGTCCTCCCCTTCCCAAGGAACCAGAGCACCGGTGTATCTGAGCACACCGCGGTGTATCCGATACTCTCAGTGTATCTGTTCTACGTCAGAAACGTGCAGGAGGATGCTCATCGCTGCGGTAAGAGTACAACTGCTATATGGGCTAACAACGCCTCGGTGTCACCAGACTGTTCTTCACAATTCGGTTTTCACTCCTTCAATACAACTTCTAATACGACAGACAATTTAAGTTAAATACAATAAATTGGGAAACTGGGGTAGCGAGGCACAGCAGCTTTCAATGTCACATTAGATACTATTGTACTCATTGAGATTTAGACTTTAATATGCTGTATTTTGCTCCACATGACACAGCCGTCTTCACAGAAGCTGCATATTAGCGCACATTCTGGTGCACGTAAGATCAAACAATCTTTTCTTATCTCAAAGGAACCTTCAAGAAAAAGACAGTAAAATGTAAAATCACGCAGCTACCAAATAAGGCAGGAGATAAAGCTTGTCTCAGTTAGCCCATTGCAAGAAAGACAGAGAAAAGTCAAAATATTAAGAACAGTAAGCACATTCAATCCCATGGGACAACTGCAAAGCATGCCCAAAGGCGTGATTCATAACATCCCCCAAGCTCTCAATGCCTTATGAAATGTCTCCAACTTCAACGCGCTTGGATGAGACCCACAAGCCGAGCGAAGCCATCTTAGCAAGCCAGTCAGGTAACATCTTCCCACTCAGTCTGCAAACGGCTCATCAGTTTGGTGTAAGTTCCTAGTGATTCCCTCTAGCAAGTCACCGTCTCAGTGTCCAGCCCTGAGCATGATGAACCACCATTTTGCGGTGCAGGGTTGTTGCACTGTCGTCTCCTTGTTCGTTGACCTCCTGAACACGGAGACCAGCTGGCCCAGCAACCCCAGTTTCCATTAATAGCAGCATCTGGAAAAAAAAAAACCAAACAAAGCCAGAAAGGACTGTCAGAACAAAGCGGCTCTTTCCATGGGAAGAGCTTTCAGCTTCCATGAATCATATTTAAATACAAACAGCTCTGCCCCTGTCCACACCACTAACAATATACTTGAGTCATTACCAATGAGTCATTGTTTTAAAGATGTTAATTGTCCTTCAGCATTTCTGGTGTTTGTTCAAACTACACTTTATGCAGCAAGGACAAGGAAAAAAAAAAATCAGTTGTCTTTATTTTTGCTTGCAGGGTGTTTCTCTGTCTGATGTAGTCCAAGCCTAGGTAAGGAAAACAGCAACTAAACTTGTGTCAGCCACATTTGGAGGTGCTAGGGGAAATGTTAGCACGTTCTTCTTCAATGAACAACAGCTTGAATATTCAGCGTTCTATCCATTGCTTTTTCTATTACACTGTTTCTTCTGGACCCTGAGCATCTGAGTGACATAAATTCAAAATCCCGAGAATCATGGAGCTGAACACGAAGAGAATACATAAAAGGAGGAAAGGGGAGTGAGAAAGGAAGTTACACGTTGACAAGTGGATGGATGTGAGTCTTTGGGAGGGTCGGATGCGATTACACGTGTGGTAAGCAGACTGGAACAAGGTGTAAGTGACTCCACAGATTAAGGCTCCATGGACTTCCTTAGAAACACCTACAAAATTGACCCTCTGCTCAGTGATATCTTGGCTTAAAATGAATTTCAGCCTGGCTTAGTTGGGACACAGTCATGCAGAATGAGAACTGGATAAAAGACTGTAAACAAAGCACAATGATAAATGCAGTGCATCAAATTGTGGGATGGTGCCAGAGCTCTGGGTGCCTGAGATTTGCTATTATTTAGCATCTAAATAAATGAGCTGGAAGAAGTAAACAAAATGATTAAATTCACGGATCATCCTAAAATAGAAGGAGTTAAGAACATCAGTCAAGAGACAGCAGCGATCCAAAGTGACCAAGAAGCATTAGTAAATACTTCAAAACAACATAGTAACATGATAAGATTAAAATGCATGGCAGTATATCTGAGGGAAACCAATTTGCAACATACTGGGTGTAGCAAAGGGACAAACTTCGGAAACAGAGCTGTTGGAGAAGACCCGAGGATTGTCACAGATGGTAAATTGGGTAGGAGTTTGTATTTTGATATAATTACTCGGTGTGTTTATGCAGCTTTGAATTGCAAAAGTAAAGGCACCTCCTCGTGAGTGCAAAGAGATTTAGAAGAGGACAGGCGAAGTGTCTCTGTCCCTCCGCAGGACTCTAACCCCTTGTGCTCTGGGCTGGACAGAGTGGGGACAGCCAGCGCTGGGCATTCCTCCCCAGGAACGGACACTCCTAAATACTGCTGGGAGCATCTCCTCGGACCTGGGGTCCCTCTTACCTTCCCTCTTGCTGATCTGACAGGCAGTGCCACTGCGGCCAAGGGGACATAAGCATTCACACTCGGTTCCTGAAAGCAAGCAGAGATGGTGGGATTAGAGACGTCACGTCACATTTCCCTGCAGACACCCATTTCTTTTCACTGCTTCATCTTCTGTGAGGAAGGGACAGCGGGTGAAATGATACCAGCATTTTTCTCTGATGGTGAAAGTATAAAATAGCAATAAAGCAGGGGAGCTGTGACTACCCCGCCGCCCCTCTCGCCCCCCCAGCCATCTGTTCCTGCCGCTGCACTGCGGCTCAACCTCAGCGACACCGGTGCAGTAATTCAGTAACCCACGGTACCGCACGGTCCCCACGCTCCTCTCCGAAAGAGAGACCTTGGTATTGCTGAGGGGGAGCAAACTGCGGCATCAGGAACGAGCACCCAGGACAGGAGCATCCCAGCTTGGCTTTGTGGCAAAGTCCACGCCAGGACTGCGGTGTGTGTCCCACGGCAGGACCGGGAGGAAAGCTCCCACTTAGGAAAATAATGGTCATTTAACGCCTCTTGTTGAGAAGATCCTAAATGAAACGCTACGCTGACTCAGCACCTAAAAAGTTATTTAAACACGGGTAATCATGAGACGAATCCTTTAAGTGCTACAATCAACTAGCTGGAACCTGAAGCGCTAGTTTCTGCATTAGATACATTTAGATGATAACGATTCTCATCAGGACTTTTGCAGATGCAGATTGGAACCAGGCACTTGACAAAATGGTCCCTTTGTTAGAAGCTCTCATCACATCACATATCTCTGTTTAGGCAGTGCAGTTTTCATTCAATTTGATTATTTTTCCCCTTCATTTTTAAATCACAGCCTGCTTACAAAGGAGGACAGCTTCTCAGAAATGGAGGGAGGTGACAGTGATAACTGTGCTTGGCACTTATATGGTGCTTTTCATCTTCAGAACACTTTTACAAACACTAATTAATGCTGAGACAGTAGTCACTTCTCTAGGAGGATGGAAGCAATCTTAAAAGCAAAGGAGGAGACTTAAAGACGTCAAGGGTTTTTTTTTTAATGCATAATTGAGGTGGAACAAATTCTTCCACAAAACTGACGCAGATGGTCACTCCCATTAACAAAGCTCATCCCTTGACTTATACTGTCTTTACTTACCAGTGGCACTCTACAAATAGACCAACTTAAAATTAATAATAATAAAAAAACATTTGATTACCTGAAAGAGAAACAACAGGAGAAACTAAAGAGCAGATTACATGCCAATCTTCCTTGCTCCCCACAAACTCCCAGCTCATTTCTCTTAGAGGGTAGAGAGGAGGTGCAAAATCCTTCTACCTTGCAGAAAGGGGATCCCATTGCCGTGGCACGGAGCACAGCGACAAGCACTGGTCTCCAGCTGAAACTCGTCAAGAGCCCGTCGCAGATTTTCTTTTATTGCCATTGCATTAGCGAAATCTGTCGGAGTCACCAGCTGATACAGCGGCTCTGCCTAAAGGGAGGGAAGAAGCTGCATTTGTTTCCAAGTTCAAGACGGTGTGAGCACTGCGGGGCGCAGAGGGAGCACAGCTGGAGAGGGAAATGAAAGCCTTGTGGTACGGGCTCCAGGTTTCCCATTCGTATTGCCTTAAACCTCGGGAACAACGAGGCAGCGATGTCGGGAATACTTACAGGGATCCTCCCCTTGGCTTACAGCACCAAAGCAGCTGCAAACGCATAGTAAAATACAACAGCCCCACCGCTAGCTGACAAACGGGCAAAGTTTCACTGAAGATTCATTAAATCCTTTCGCATCCATTTTCCTAATATTGACATTTTTAGACCAGATTTGCTCACACTTACGTTTCCTGAGTGCTCTGTTGATCCGATTTAAAAAGATCCCCAAAACCCACCCCCAAAAACCTCCTTCCCTCCTCGGACAGCCACACAGCCCAGGCAGAGGCACGTGGTCACAGGCATTCACAGCTGCACGTTCGGCTTAACCACTTCTGCATTTCAAGGCTGACTTCTATCTTTATGAAGCCAAGATAAGGGTTTCCACTGCCTTCAGAAGGCAGAGGATTGTGATCTTCATCTGCAAACACTGCAGATGGGGTCAGTGGGAGAAGATAAGAGGATGCACGGCATGGTGAGCGTGCAGAAGGGACCAAGGAGAAGATAAGGGGGTGCACAGCACGGTGAGTGTGCAGTAGGGACCAAGGAGACTTCGTCCTGCTCATTTATGTTTTTTCTGAAAACACAGAAAAGTTAAAGTGTCGTCTCAATATCGCTAATCACCCACTAATGCCAGTGGGATGATATGGGCACGTGTCATCAGCAGATCCATCCCAAATTCCCATCCTTGCTATAGAGATGCCTGCCAGACAGGCCACAGCAATACAGTAAGCATGAAAGATCACCCCACTGCTATCACAGGCTCAAGCTACAAGAAATAGAAGAATGTCTCAATAAAAAAAATGCTCATTTCCTGCTGCTGTACATTCACTCTTCATCAATTATCTGTGATCCATACTTTGCTTTTTGAATTCAGATCATATGAATGAGGAAATACACTAAGAGTGACCTGCCAAGTCCCTTCAGCAGATGATTTATGAACTGATTTGCTTTAGTTTTCCCTAACTAAGCATTCCTGGGCTGACATTTAGTCACACTCTGCTGGTACTTTTGATCTTCAAGCCCCACAGGGATATTGGTATGGAAATGAAGGATTATAGATACCAAATCCAAATTACATCCATCTGGGGTTTTTCAACGGGCAGCCTGGTCACCAATGCCAGGCAAGACAAAGAATATCACAATTTCTTGTGGGAGAGTTCTCTGTACGTGGGATCTAGCACGGAGGGCTGCGTTGATGTTGTCTCCTGCCCAGAGACCTCCCAGTGCATTTCTGGAAGGTCTATCCACAGCACACCAGGGGCTTGGGAAAGCCACCTCCGCTGCAGCAAGCACCGGACAGGCACTGGCTGTATTTCCAAATGACTGGTTTTTGATTTGCTTCGCTTCATCTTTTTTAGAATTCACCTCTTTTTTTAAATGGAAAGTCAGGATTTTCAATGAGAAACAAACACCTTTCACGAATACAAATATTTTTGCCTAAAATTAAATTTTACAATGAAAACCAATTATACAATAATAAAATCAACTTCCACCACTACCAGTCCAAACTCCTGGTTAAAAGGATGTCTTGCACCTTTGCGCTATTCACGTGGTGTGAACTTACTTTGACATTAAAAATGATGAGGCAGAATTGCTACATACTTCTGCTTTCTTTTTACTTTTACAGTGCCTTGCATTTCTAAAACTCTTCAGGATGAAAAAGCCTTGCCTCTTCAAAACCTAACTCATATTTTTAAGGTTTAGCTCTGCTGCACAAACACCCAGGCATGTACGGCGAACAGCCAAGTTAGAAGGATAAAAGCTGTTTAACTGATGTACTTCCAACCACACCACTCTTTTTAATACATTTTCTGAATACCCAGTCTTAGAGAAACCACGTTGCACAATACAGGTCTATTCTTTGCCCTAGAAATTTCCCTTTTTTTAAACTTTTTTTTTAATCCCGTTTATTTAAATACAGACTTCTCTAAGGTGCTCAGCTACCTGAGGCTGAACGAAGCGGTGGATATGTTACCTTTAGTTTTATGATTTCAGGGTTGTACTGTACAGCGTCTCCCCACTCCTGCATGAGCGCAGCCGTCGGCAGGTCTTTGTAAGCCAACGCGGTAACGTGTTCGCTTGCTCCGCCACGAACAAGGACAACGAAATCTTCCACATACTGTTTTTTGGAGGTGCTGTCTGCAAAAATGCATTCAGAAAGTGGCCAGCTCTGCTCAGGTACGTCTTCGTGGCTTGCGGATGAGATACAAGCTCACAGCAAAACACCTCTGTATATGACCCACCCCACTGAGAGGGGAAAGGAAAAAGCCCACGAGCGTTTCGCACCTGGAGCCTGGTTTCCCATGCTGCATGTCCCGTGCCGCTCCTGCTCCCGTGCAGCAATACCCCATCCTCCTGTCCTGCATCCTTCCTACAGCTCTCCTCCGCCATTTCTTCCCTATGGCTATAAGCTTGCAGGTCCTTCCACAGCCCGAAGCTCCTCACCGCCACGAACGTTGCCTGTTCTCCTCCACACATCTTCAGGTGGACCCTCCTCCCACTGCAACACCCCCAGCTTCCCATATGTCCCCTGAGGCTCCCACACCACCATTACCTCCCGGCTTTCCCCATTTGGGCTTTTTTTTGGGTGCAAAAAAGCAGCATGCTGGGCTGCTCTGCTGCAGCCGGGTGAGCGATCACCTGTCCCTGCTTCTCCCTGGGAGGGGACACTGAGCAGATATTTCTTCTCTACCCAGCAAAGAAAATCTGGCAAAAATAATAAGCTTTGAGACATTTACACATCTGTTAAGCTTGGCTGAGGTTAGCCCGCAGACTCGAAAGCAGCTGTGAGAGAGTGGGGAAACACTTCAGGCAGGTAAGATCACAAATTTGTTTCACTATGACAAAGGCTAGAAATGAAATGGCAGAAGTGTTTCATGCTTACCTCCGATTTCTTTTAAAAGGGATTTACAGCCAGCTGCAGTTATTCCAAGCTTCACATAGACACTCTTAATATTTCCACCAATGTTAAAGCCATGCTGTGCACATTTCTGGACATCGGTCAGAGAATAACCTTAAATACACAGCAAAAAATTGTAAAGTTTTAATACAACTGTTCAATGTTTTATGTCCATCTAGACGGAAAAAGTGAATTGATAAATAAGAGAGAAAAGAGGATGCACCGAGTTTTGGGTTGACGCAGGGTGGCCCCTGTTCACGTTCATAGTCCATACGCACTTGAAGCAGAAACCACTATTTTGTGACATCCTTGTACAGCACCAGGCACAATCCAGACTGCTGTCTTTCCCACAGAAAGTATCAAATCATGAGCCACAGATACATCTGGCATATCGGATTATATATGAGAACAGTGCAAGTACCAACCGTGTGACTCCCTCTGGAGCGAGTCCAGAGGAGGGACATGAAGCTGATCGGAGGGCTGGAGCACCTCTCCTATGAAGACAGGCTGAGAGAGTTGGGCTTGTTCAGTCTGGAGAAGAGAAGGCTCCGGGGAGATCTCATTACTCCCTACCAGTACCGTAAAGCTGGTGAGGGACTGTTTATCAGGGAGTGTAGTGACAGGACAAGGGGGAACGGCTTTAAGCTGAGGAGGGGAGATTTAGATTAGATATTAGGAAGAAATTCTTCCCTGTGAGGGTGGTGAGGCCCTGGCACAGGTTGCCCAGAAAAGCTGTGGCTGCCCCCGGATCCCTGGAAGCGTTCCAGTCTGCACTGTTGCCAACCTGGGCTAGTGGAGGGTGGCCCTGCCCATGGCAGGGGGGTTGGAACTAGATGGGCTTTGAGATCCCTTCCAACCCAAACCATTCTGTGATTCTATGACATGGTGTCTGATATTAGATCTGCAAAAGAAGACTTGATTTCCAGCACAGACGGTACAAACATAACAATGGATTTGAAGGGAAAAAGCTGAATTCTCAGACTGGACCTATCAAACCCCGATGAGAACTTATGGCCCAGCTCAGCCCTGGGGATTGTGTGAAAATGTTGGTACTACTGCAGGATCCCGATCTCGGTCAGCAGACACTGTCAGGTAACACTGTGATGTGAACAATAATACACATTAGTTCAAACAAATGTGGCTTGTGATGGGCCCACACCAGCATCTGAGAAAGTGGGCAGTGCTGATTTTTTTAATATCTGAAAGCCGAATCTAAATTCTGTCCCTCCAGGCTGTATCTGACTACAGGGTAAGCAACTTCCTAGAAGCAGAAGAGCAACCGGGCTGAGTGTCACACACAGCAGAGCCCACTAAATGCTTTCGCAAACAGTCGGCGAAGGCAGTTACTGGCTCCCATGCCAATGAATAAATAAGAGAGTGCAGCTATTGATTAATGTCACACGGCTCGCTCTATCCCACACAACGATCATCATTTCTCGCAAAAAAAGGAAGCCAGAGTCAAAAAGCAAGAGCAATGTCAGGCACAGGAGTCACTCAGAAAATTATTTACTGTTTCCTACATGCTGGAAAAGCTCTCGAGGCTAAAGGTGTTTCAAAACTGTCATTTGAAAGGCAATGGAAAAAGAACTTAGGGGAAGGTTTTCAAAGCTAACAAAAGTGTTAAGCTACACGATTCTCATTCATCTCAACATCTTGTCAGCCTCGAAAACGTGTTGTCTCAAATACTTGCTACGGGGCCTTTTTTGTGAAGTGGCAGCACCCGCAGCTTGAGAGCTAGATGAAGTCCATGATGCTGAGCATGCTTTGAAAACCAGGCTCTTGACTCACTGCCATAAAGCCCTTCTCCTCCCACATTTCCTGCAGGCTTTCTTGGAGACATTGTTGACTCCTTCTTCCACCATCTCTCTTTTCTGGCCTCAGACCTCAACCACCATCAGGTGCCTGCAGAGGGCTTTTCCCACCAAAAAGCTGGCCCCAAAGCTTTTTCACAACCCTCAGATGCCCATACCTGCCTTTCGGAGCTCGTTGCTATTCATGACTAAAGTATATTCGTAGATGCCACCAACGGTAGCCTCCGTGATGTAATGGGTGCCGTAGTCTCTGTAGAGCTCTCTGTACTCCCCGTAGCTGTACTCCGACGGGAGCTGATGGAGTCTCTGCAGGAACTCGTAATGCAGCATCAGGGCTCGGGGCTTCAGCTTATAAATGGCGACAGCCAGCTCAGAACGGGCGTGAATAAATTTGCTGGACTACATGAAATGCAGAAACACAAGAGAATCCGGGAAAAGTGAGGGATGTCATTCTCACGGCAGTGTGTAGTTATTCGCTATTAAACAATTAATGCTGGTCAGGATTTATCAAGTTTAACAGTTAACAGGAGACTGCTTTACACCTAATAATGGTGACCAGCCTTTGTCTTTCACAATCTCTCTCCTGAAAAATTTTGACACCTGAAAACGTGATGATTTATATGGGAAATGGTAATTCCCTATCTATCTGATCCAAATTTATATTGATATTCCATAGAATATGCCATTACCAAAACTCAAAGCAAAGAGGAAAACGCAAACACACACGTATTCATATGTCTCTGTACGGATACATGTACATGGTATATATTATATCTCCTCTTTCCAGCATAAAAGTCAGGAACAGAAGAGATCTTTCATCATGTCCAAAGGATTTAGTGCCCAGTTGTTTGGGCCAGCAGGACAAGCACATCAGCGGGGGTCCAATACAGAACTCTGCAGCTTTAATAACAAAATCAAGACTTAGCGATGGGTGCCTTTATGGATATCTGTTATCATGTCCTGGGAAATGCCTCCTTGCAGGAAGCAAATGCAAGTTTAATAGCAACACGGAATACCATGCCGCTCCAGAGTGCACTTTGTACTGAGGGGAGAGACACAGATCAGTGATACTATTAAACCATTGACAAGAGCTAGGTTTGTTTACAGCAATAACAGGTGAAAAAAATCCAATGATGGTACACACTACCTCCGGCTGCATCTCATAAAGCAGTCCTAGGAGTTAGAGATTAAAGCCAGCTTAAGGTGTGCATCAGATCACAGCTGTGACCAAGTCTCCGCAGACGCAACTGGAAGTGATTGTGCCATCCGTACTTTGTGTTGCGTGCGTCCTGATCTGGCAAATGATGTGCTCGGCAGATAGATCACATCAGCCAAAGTAAAACGGCATGTGCTAGTCTACAGTTAAACCCAGGGAAGGCCTGCCAGCAGTTTTCATTCTATGTTATTGTCAAGGCTGCCCTACAGTTAACAGCTTGGCTTTGCTGTTGGTGTTATCATTTATTGAAGTGACAGCTCCTGCCTTGCTGACCCCACCTGAAAGAGGGATGGTCCTTCACGTGTGAGGTGATATTCTGCAGTGATGGTACGGAACCACAGACTGGTGTCTGGACTGTGGGTACAGGTGCAGAAATTCCTGCAACTGCAGAAAATCCTATTTCCCCTTCTTTCACCTCAGATTTCTCTATTAGTCACTGTAACGCACTCGTAGGGCAGAGGGAACTCTGGGCTCCTGGTTCATTAGCTAAACCCCAATTCTACCTGTGACGATTCCCTGGGAGGAGTCACTGTGTTGGCTGCACAGTGCCAGACTGCTTTGGCGTCAGCGGTAGGAGCTTTTCAATGGCTGGCAGGGCAAGGCGCACGGCATCCCATGGCCGGCGTGCGGCACGGAGACCCTGGTAGGAGTGTCACTTGTACATCTCCTACCAGTGAGGTCACTGGATGGAGGGTTGGCCATTTGAACCTGCCTCTGAGTTTCATTTTTTTTTAAAATGACTTCACTACAAACATCCAAATGCGGATGCCCAGCAGGACACTGGGCAGACCGCACTCACTTGTGGCTGATTTCAGAGGTTAGGCACTCCGCTTCCTGGCCGATGGGTGAATGGAAAAGCTCCTGAGTGCTGCAAACACAAACGAAGGCGTTTTGGCCTTAGTAAACACTTGAGCAATGCAAACTGCAAAATCCAATCTGGAGGAAAGATTTCATTTATCCTAGGCACGGCTGCTGACCTGATGATGGGGATCAAACCGATACACACACACAGAGAGAATTAAGTGGAGCAGTGCTTACAGTTGAAGAAAACCTTTTCATCCTTTGAATGAACTTCTTGAACCTGTTGTCGTTAGAACTGTAACCAAGTTCAAACACTCCTGGTATTTTTATCCCAAAGCTGAAGCTACTCTGCGAAGCTTTTGCCTTCAGGACATTGCTTTCATAATTTGAGTAGGAGTCATATTCAGTCATTGTGAATTCATATTTGCTTTTGGTCTAAACAGAAAGCAAAACCAACACGGTTAATTTCCTGCATAGCAATCGTATACCTGAAGCATGGAGAAGGAGTACAGATACAAATATAGTTGTGAATTAATGCTTGCACTTTGAAGATGAAAAGCCTTGTATAATTGCAAAGCACTATTATTATTAACACTGGTACTTCAAGAATACTTGATTTACAGCAGCAGGAAAGCTATCTTCTCTGTACTGCAAGGACCTCAGGCTTTTACTTAGTATGTCAATCTTATGCAAAGAAGGTGAAAACTTCAACATAGGCAACAATTAAAGTATGAATTCTAAGAGGAGAAGGTTTCCTAATGGGCAACACTCAAAAATATCACGATATGTCATCAGGAGCATTAAGGTGAAATATATAATATTTGAAATACAGCTTTGACACACCACAGAAATGAGCTGGGTGCCTTCGCTTTTGCACAAAGCAGACAGCGTGCCGTTCCATCCGAAGCTGCTGCTCAAGGACAGCGTCCCCAGGCTGGCTCAAGGCTACAGCTCTGTCTAAAATCAACCTCCCCGTGCCCACTGGGCAGCTTTCGGGCCCTCTTGTACAGATGGCAGCGGGAAGGTTAGGCTCAGTTTTAGCAATGACAAGGTGCAAGCGAACATTGCCATCTATTCCAGTGTGCACAGATATTACAAGGGGACGTGTCCAACTTCATAGAATGCGTGGGGTATGATGACGTTCTAGAATTAAAGCTAAACTCAGCCTCATCCCATCTGATCTCACGATCTTTATAAAATGATTTAGTAATGAAGCTTTATCACCATTACGCACTAAATGCATTGGAATATACGTATGTATGTTTATTTTGAGAAGAATCTGACATGTACCTCTGGTGTATAGCTTTCTACATTGTATGGCTTTCTGAATCTTGTGTCCACAATGTAATGGGGAGAACATCCCCCAGCATAGTACCTGTGATCAAGAACTAATCCTTCCAAGTTGTTTGTGAAGATATTTAACCTGTAAATGAAGCATAAGAGCAAAGTATTAAGATTGTCGTCAATTTAGAGGTAAACATGAAATGCCTTGGCTGCGAAAGGCAAAAGATTGTTTTGTTTGGCTGAGGGCTCTTTGTTTCATACTTCTTTATTTTGAAACCCCAAAAGAAAGTTTTATCTCTCTCACTGCCCAACCAACCCAGTTGCTCCAGGAAACCCTAACTAACAAGAAAGCAAAAGACAGAGTCAAATTTTGACACTTTGATGAATATGAAGGGCAATTTTCACCACCCAGCTACAAATGACACCAGAGCATTACTGCCACCAGCAATGGCAACTTCTGGGGGACCAGCCAAACCCCTGCCCCACCAGGATGCCCACCCTGAGCATCCCCAAAGTCCTGCAGTACTGCAGCAGCATCCAGCAGGATCTTCAAAGACTGGTTTGCCAACCTATGCCATCAGTTCAGGCTGATCCACATTTCCTTCTTCTGGTTTATCAGTCATAATCTTTGCCAGGTTGGCCAAGGATCAACCAGAGTTCAGCAGATGAGAGTAAAGATTGTCAGGGAACAAGATCTAGGTACTCAAGTAATTGCTCAACTTCTTCTTGAAGTCATTGGGAAGTTTTCCTTTGATTTTAGTGGATGACGGCAGTCATCTAAACCTGTCTGCTCTAAGAAAGGATGTAGCACTGCAGCTTTTTTAGATGGAGTGATCAAACCAGGCTCATTTGCTTTTTCCTATTGCTGCTGGTGGGATCTGTTGCAGTAAAAACCCTTCTGCTGCTCATTGTCAGGACACCCTCACGTTACCCTCGTGGCACACAGCTGAGAAAATGTTACTCACCTCCACAAACTCATACTCAAATAGTAGCAAGAGTCATTAGAGGAAACTTCACCAAAAAAAAAAAAAAAGAGATAAATTGCTAACAGTCTGTGTTGCGTCCCTATTAGCGTTCCAGGCCTCTGTTAGATCTGCCTCTCCTTATTTTGGGGAGAGGGACTTGCATGATAATGGCTCTGAAGCTGTAAAATATTAACTCTAATTTTAGAACAATCTGAAAAGAAGGGAAGTCCCCTAAAAGCAAATTACTGAGCAATTGTAGCTTCAAAGAGATGAGAAGCATGTTCCTATAATTGTCCAACATTATTTTTAATTTTGATTAAACTCAGAAGTACAAAGCATTAGCAATGACATGTGCAGCAGCCATATCTCCAGAGAATAAGGAGGAAATTATAATTTTTTCCTTGCAATATGATTATTTTTTCTTATGCAGAAAGCATTTTTTTTCCTGCAAAATGAGAAAAGACTCTTTTTACACAGTCTGATCTTACAGAAAAGTTTCACCAGTCTTAGCCCGTAATAGCCGGGCCAATTCTTTTTTAATCCCCACGAAGTTGTAGAAAGCATTTTTTTCCCTGCAAAATGAGAAAAGAGTCTTTTTACATAGTCTGATCTTACAGAAAAGTTCCACCAGTCTTAGCCCATAATAGCTGGGCCAATTCTTTTTTAATCCCCACGAAGTTGGGGTTTGCTAGCATGCAGGTTAATCCTACCCCACTCACATGAAGGACACAAATTCCATCATCTCTCCCTGTCGTGGAAGAAATCCAAGAAATTTTGACACTCTCCCCCCACTCCAACCAATACACTGTGCAAAAATACCAATCCATAGTCAGGTTCAGATTTTAGGTGATCCAAGATGCTGATTTATGTCACTCTATAAAGGATGATACAACATTATCCTCAGATTTTTAACAAACCTTCCTTTGCTTTTGTTTCAGAAGCACGGTTCGAAATAGTCTCCCAGTTCCTAAAGGCTAGGACGCTCCTGCTCCCCACAGACTGAATTAGGCTGAAATCTAACTTTACTTCCACCTGTGCAAGATGGATTATCAAAACTCTCCCACTGATTAATTTAAGTGCAAGTACCTGCGGACATTAAAGAAACGTTTGGCGTTGACACTTCCCTCTTCACTCACCAAGCTCTGGCAACACCAGGAGCACGCGCAGGCTCCTGCAGGACGTACCTGCAAGCTGGGCTGGTGATCTCCGCAGGGTGCACAAGTACTCCTGGGGACATCTGGGACTTTCACTCACCTCATCTCTCTCCAAAAGACTCACGGAGTCAATAAGGATTTTCGCACCGGGCTTCGGATCAGGACCCCAAAGGCTGTCGGATCCTCACTAGCTCCCGCAAACAGGAGTTGCTACAGCTTTTCTCCGTTCAATCTTTATGTCCGAAGCCACACAAGATCATTCTTATCCTTAAGAAAGCATCTCATGAAGGTCACTGACTTACCCTTTTGCCAGATTCTCTATTCCCCAGTATTCCTCCATCTCCTGGTCACATTTTTTAAACACTTTTTTGCAGTTTTTTTCATCTGACTGGTCCCCACAGTCATCATCCCCATTACAAAGCAGCCTCCGTGTAATGCATCTCCCTAGGAGGCAAGGTGTAAATTACGCATAAAACAACCTATTATCACACTCCCTGACTCAGAGTCTAGAAACAAAATAAAAGACTCCTGTAATGTATGGTTCAAATCTAGCTGGAAAATATTTCTTCTCTGTTTGCATGGATCACCAAAATCCATCTGCTCAGTTTTGCTCAAAACTTTCATAATCTTAAAATTCCTTGTTCAACCTAGAAAAAACCCCCACTCTCATTAAAAGTATAAAAAATAATAGATTTTTTTTGTGGCTAAAACTTTTTAGTTTTGAGAAAACAAACATGCTGGAGACTGTTCAGCAGACTTTGTGTATGGTATGATTTCTCCCCCCCCCCGCCTTCCCACGTCCACAATTACTGAGTTGTTTTTCATTCTCCCCAAACCACTGGCCCGGGGGACAGAGATCAGAGTCGCTCTCCTCCGCCCCATCTCCTGCGCTGAGCCCCCTCTGCCCCGGCACCCTGCCCCAGCACACTCTCCTCTCCGCTGCCAGGGTGCAGGTGCAAAGCAGAGGCTGATCGAATTTTGGACACAGGTAATGGCCGCCTTGCTTCCCCACACCGTTGGCAGTGTCCCTGACTAATTAGTGGTTGATAGGGATGGAGGGAAACGCCGTGAGGACGACCATCCTAACCTCCTGTGCTCTTGGGCATGTGCCTGACGCCCAGCGCATGTTCTCCTGCTGCTGTCAGATCCACTAGTGCTAGAGATTTTACTGACAGAACTGGGCTTTAATTTCCTATTTGGAGATTTTAAAGACATGCGTTAGATTGACAGACAGTGGCTAATAAGACTGACTGAAAATCACTGATGCAAACACAACACAAGCATGGATGGACCCGGGTCAACTCTGTGGCCCAGCAGACTCTTGTAGAAGCAGAAAGTTCAGCGTAGCGGTGTCAGAGATGCCACCTGAGCAGCACCGCTTCTCACTCCCTAAGTCCTTACCTGTAACCGCGCACACAAAACCTTCACATCTCACTTTATTCCTGCAAGGATTATTTGTAACGCAGTCTTCGGTTTCTTTGTCGGAGTAATCACACGGATCTCCATTGAACTGAGAAGGTTGTTCCAGGCGGGCAAATCTGTACTGTGATGAAATAAAAAATATTGACTCAAGTGTACAGAAATTGTGAATTTTACGCTTCCCTAACTAAAAAACAAACTTTGTGTTGGGGAGATCTGATCTAAGAGCACTGTCATATAAAAAAAAAGTGTCAGCAAAGAAGTGTGGTGCCGGTAACGTGCCTCCTTTCAAAGGTTTCTGATCTGCGACAGTTTTAATTTTACTAAGGAAGGATTGAGGATTGGAAGGGATGAAGGAAAGTTTGCTTTTCTTTGACAGTTTGTTTAAATGAGCTGACAGGGTAGTACGGGCATTTACAAGAGTAAGGAAGGATTCAGTTACATCTCCTCTCTTTCAATTAGCGCTGGTAACGACATCCCTTGTTATTTTCTGTCAATGTATTTACTTGGCCCTCTGTATCATTAGGGATTTTTTTCCGCCCACAACACTGCTGTGAAGCAGTCAATTACTCCATCCCATATGTTAGCCCTCCTTTTTCTCCCCAGCTTTTAAGATTAACTCTTTGATATGAAGCTTCACTCTTCCCAACTCCCATCACTGGTTATTCCCACTTAAGCCTGGGAACGGCTTCTCCAACTCGTTAGCAGAGGTCCCTCTAGCAACGAGGGTTTTGCTCTTCACACTATTGGGATCATTACTTTTGTTTGATGGGGCTTCTCGAGGAGAAAATGCTAGTTGGCAGACAAGAAAAAGCATCTTAATCCTGAGAGGCACCAAGTGTCTCCAGGTCCCACAGGGACCATTAGTGGGGATGGTGCCTCACACTGCTGCTGGAAGAAGAGGACCGTGTTGGAGAGAAAGTCCCTGCAAAGCCTGGGCTTCCTGCCTGTGTTTTCACCAAGCCTGGGTGTACACCTTCTCAGGACAACGAGGCAGCCTGGAAAGCACTGCAGTTACTGGGGGTGGCGAGCTGAAGAGTTAAAAGCCACCTGAAAGCAAAAGCCTGCAGTCTCACCTGTAAAGGGCTTTCCTCGGCAGCTCCCCGCTGTTTGCCCAACCCCAGGGACAAAAACCACAAGGCGTGGAGGAGGTCCTGCCTCCCAGTTTCTCAGGCTTCATGCCTAGAAAACAAACACTTACCCTTTTCTTTTGACAGGGATCACACTTGCTCCACGAGGACCAAGCGGAGAGGATGCAGTCACGGGGCTGTGGCAGGTTGCTCACGGACCGGACATGCCTGCTGTTGGCCACGCTCTCGTTGGTGCCACTGAGCTTAAGGGACTCCTTTTCACCACTGCATTCAACAACATGAGAGCTTCAGGGTGTGAAACCAGTGAGCTGTGAGGACAGAGCAACTTGGCCTATACCTGTGCAAAACTACATGCCAACTTGTTAGACCTCATCAAATCTTCCATGCAACCTCTAGATTTCAGTACTCGGTTCATACTGGCATTGGCTCTGTCTGAAACCTGATCTACTCTTCAATGCCCAAGAGCAGACCCAGTCCTCTCACACCACCACCGTGGGAGTAAGTCTGCAGAGCACTCAGGAGGGGTGACTGCAGGACACACGTTTGATCTAGCCAGCATGGGAAACTCAACCCATGTCCCATCAACTTGGGCTTCATCTCAAGCTGCGCAAGCCCTATCAAATAACCTGGCCAAGTGGCCAGCAGTAAAATCTGCACCATCAGTTGCTGCCCTTGTCCCATTGCTCCCTGCTGTACGGGCAGCACTTTGGTACCTCGCTGCCGTACACGGCGCACAGCTCCAAAGTCGGACACCTCCACGACAAACACCACTCACAATGCTAAGGGCTGGCGAACACTCGGTGTTTGTGAAAACCAGGCGTAAGCACTTCCCTTTGCCGAGCAGCCTATTTTTTCTCAAGCTGGCCAAACCCATTAGTCTTAGACTCTATTCTCGGTTCACAATAGAGTCATTAACCCATTAATCCCATTCATCCCAGTAATGAACCCGAACCCCAAGCGTGAGCCTTTACTTTTCACCCCAGCCCCTCTCTCGCTCCCTCACGTGACAACTGTCTCCAAGGTTTCCACGATGCCGCAGCTAAAATGCTGCCTACTCTTTTGGCGGATTCAGTATTTCTGATTAAATCCTCGTCCCAGACAAATGCTTCCTTGTAGCACGTAATCTAAGTGGGAAGCTTTAGTAAAACATTGACAATTAGTTTCTTTTCATACCCGCTCTGACAAGTAAACTACCACAGCAGTGTTCCCAATTCTTCCACCAAGACAAGGAATAGCATCCGCTGAAGCTTTAAGCAAGATTTAGTGCCTGGCAAGGGGCTCCCATTACTGCATATTAAAAAATCACATGGAATAAAGGAATTACAAAACCTCATCAGCTCACTGAGCCATGAAATCAGAGCTCAAAGTTCAGAGAAGAGTGGAAAAATATAGTTAGATTGGAAAGATTGCAGTCGCTGATTGACCGCAGTCCTCTGAAAGAGCAAAATCTATTAAGCTAGCAGAGAAAGAAACAACTATCAGCCAGATTCTTGCCATTTATGTACTCAAAGAAAACAATCCCCCATCTCTCCAGCACACTGTTGGGCAGCTAGCATGGGAGGAGGTTGCATGTTGCAAACAGAATTCCACATTACAACATGACCGTGGCAATTTGTAGTCTCAGATTTATCAAGCAGGATTACTTTTCTAAAGGCAGACGCATCGCACTCTGTTAACTTCAAAAGAATGTCTTTCGCTATTCATTAGAAATACAGAAATCGCTCAAGATGGCAATTATGTGCCATACAACGTGAAAGCAGGGAGTCTGTACTGATTTTCACTCTTTATCGTATCAGCCCATGGACACGGGACTTACCCAAAGCAGTGAATGGTTACGCCGCCAAGCACGGCAAAAAGCAGCAACAGTTTGACGGGGCACGGAGCAAACGCGGCGCGTGCTGTGCTCATCGCTCCGAGGTACCATCCGCGATTTGAAACCACCACTGCTCCCGTTCCATCTGCCGGGGGGGCCGGGGCGGGGGGGTGAGTTGAAAAGGTTCAAGTAGAAAAAGATAAATTACCGGGTCATTTTTCCACACTGTAAACAGCAGCTGACCCACCACCTGGCAGATTCACAAGGTAAACGGTGCAATTCTTAGTACACCGCTTTCCGGAGCCAAGGGGGAAGGAAGCAAAGATCCGTCCAGAAGCAATTTATGCTTTCATTTGTAATGCTCCTTTCAAGAGACGGGGGGGGGGGGGGAAGAGTATTTTAACAAATGAAGCATACTCCGGTCTTGGCAAGAGGGAAACGATAAGTAAACTAAAGTCGGCTTTCTAGGAATAGAGTAGACTGCAAAATCATTTATTTCTGCTTTTCATGCCTGCCTTCCAGAGGAAGGCCAGGCACGAAGCATAAGCTGTCGTTCTGATGGCTCAGGGAAAGCCTTCATCCCCGGGAGTGCTGCGTCTCATCGGGGCTGTGGCTCGAGCTGCAGGGGAAGACGAGAGCTCCAGCCCTGGCTGGGCCCTTCCACAGCGATCCTCTGCTCCACATACCCAAAGTCTTCAGAAGCAAGACCCGTCAGGGTATCAAATCAAACATCTTGATGTTTCCTGGCTACTACGTTGAGTTGTTCTCTCTCTTAAATGGTCCTAACAGGGGCAGAGAACTTACCAAGGGCTGATTCCCATCAGTTCAGTCAGGCTTTCAAAGGAAGGTTGGGATCTTCAAAACACTGCAGAATTTTCCCTGGGTTGCCTGTTGAGGCAGCCTTCACATCCTGCCGTGTCTCACGTCAGGTATGGCTTTCTGATTCCCGAGACACAACAGTCTTTCCCTTCACTCTTCTAATCAGTCTTAACCAACAATGAGCATCTTAGAGGGAGGAAAGTTCTTTGAATCTGTGTTTCCCTGTACAAAATTATGAGTATTATTGCATTTTCCCACCCTTCCTCTCGCTGGAGAAGCAGAGGTTCTTTGATCAGCTGCGGTGTCGCCCTGCGCGCAGCTACGGCTTGTAGCAGCACAGCCTCTCACCCTGCGGTAAGTCTCCGAGTGCTTCGATGATACAAAGAATAAATACATTTTAATTTGCTCATTATGGGAATGATGGATGCTATATATAAAATTAATCATATTCGCTAATACAAAACAACCCTGACAACCTCAGCGTCATTACCTGGCCAAGTGCTGTACCACTTAATGTGTCAGTTTTACCTTACAAATGACATCATTCTGACTGCGGAGCCACGTTCCTGCAAAACAAGCAACTGGCTGCTGCATCTTTCTGGTTTGGCAGCTCGATGATAACAAGTTAACACAGAGAAGCACAATAACTGATTCCTTGTAGGAATTTGCATCATATAAAAAGACTGTTTCAGGCAGCTGGTGTTTTAACCCAATGTTACGGAACAGATCAGCGACTAACTGGCCTTTCATCTCCGGACACGGAGGACAAACTGTTAGGAAAGATGGCTTAGGCTGTGCAAAGCTTTTTGTTTGCCTTTTTTGCTTCAAATGCCTTTGCCCCAGACTAAACCCAAGACGTGCCTATGCGATACAGCTTGCTCAACCTTTGACACAATTGATTTCGCTGTTAATCATTTGTACATGACAAAACCCCCTCTCTTCATACGCAGGACCTTTGCTGGTTGAGAAATGCAGTACTCATCCAGTATTTCACTAGCAGCAAAAGAGAAGCCAAGAATTATACGCACAGAACACCCTCTAGATTTAACTGCGAACCACGACAGTGATCCCGGCGTGTGAAGATCTCAAAGCAACCTGCTCCTGTTCTGCTGCCTCTCACCACACATCTTACTGGTGACCATGCTTGCTCCTCAATTAGCAGAAAGAAGTTGGGTTAAAATGGCAGCTGGGACCCAAGAGACAGAGTTTCCTACACATTAAGATACTTTTTAGAGAGAACTGAAAAGCAAAATTGGGTTTGCCACGTAACTTATAACCTGGTTTCACTACAGGCAGGTCTAACAAGTATAATTCACAACAACCACAGCTCGCTTTCCACTTCCTTGCAGTTTGGGACTTAGTGGGTCCATGATCAGTAGGAATGTCACCTTGTAACACCGTCCACGTCCTCTTTCCCCGGTCTTGATCCTTCTTTGTCGCTGACTGTAATAGCAGTTGGTGTCTGCTGAGCCGTTTTGAAATCCCAAAGCACTTAGCGCTAACAAGGCTGTAAGTCACTGGACGTGGGTTTCATCACACCTGAAAATGAAGCTGCACCAAGTTCCCATCATGAACACCGAGCTTTCAAGTGTAACACATCCTTTGCAGAGTTCATAACGCCAACCTAAGTTTGTGAACCCTTACTCCCTGTAAATAAAACCTGTACAGTTTCACCAAAGCTGATTTTTTTTTTTTTTTTTTTTAAATAGCAGTTTCCTGTCCAAAGGAAAACTGAAACACATCAGAGATGAAAGGCTCTCCCTGGGAAATGTTAGACTGGAGCCAGCAAGCAGCTGTTTGTGGCACCGATATAGTGCACTTTTCAAAAAGAGTTTTTCTTCTTCTCTGACCCAAACTTTTCATTCCCTGCTTCACAACTCATAACGTATTTCCTTCTGCAGAAGAACGCAACTGGCTCGTTAAAAGGTAAGAGGAGGCTCTCCCACCAATTTTAATGGTGAAGAACGTAAGGTGGCAAATATATGGTAAAGTTTACAAGAAACCCTAAGGAATGTTTTCAGATGATAACTACAATAGATTCTGTTGCATCGCCATTTTTGCTACCAATATAGTAATTTTCTGGTGCTGAGGCTGGTATCTGAAAAGCCCTAGATATTAAAAATTTACCTTGTTGAGCTTAATTCTCCTCTTCTGCCTTTTCATTCGCTAAAAATGATGCCTCAGAGTGACTCAGTCCAAACTGGGCACAGGTTCATCTACTTCAAAAGCTGATTCTAAGGTCCTGTGAAGACATTAAGGCAGGGGCTGCAGCAATGAGTAGACAAAGAACAACCCACCACGCCACGTTCCTTGCCTCTATCTCCTCTCCGTTAGAACTCAAGGTTAAGACACAAACTCATTTTCAAACCAGAAACAGCATTTTTTTCAAGAAAAAAAAAAAAAGGACATTCATAATCTCAATCTGTCAAACAGCACAAAATTTATAAAAAAAATGCAACATCATATAGCATTGTAACTTCTGCTTATTTCTAACACAACTGGCTTCTGACGCTGAGAGCTTTTCTCAGACCCCTAATAACTATCTGTTAAAGAAGACAAAGATGCCACAAAAGGTCTTCCCACTGCTAGTACCTGGCAATAATTCTTCATAATCCTTTATTTTCACAAATGTCTGGGACTGAATGGACATTGATTTGCTGCCCGTTAACCTGGTTTTCTTTTAATCTATTGTGATTTCCTTTCCTCGCTGGCCAGGAGTATTTATAGAAGTGGTGTTGCGGGAGCTGTGAAATGGGGTTGAAAAGCCAGCAATATCAGATCTTAAAAGACCTTTTTTTTAAAAAAAAATACATTGTGTATCTGAAAGCCCCTTGAACGGGTAACATTTGAGGCTATTCTTCTTATTGAGATTTTTCAGGTGCTGATAAAACATTTTAGGGGTGATAGATGAGCCACAGGGCAAACACATCCATTGAGATAAGACTATTTAAAGCTCTAAAAACTAATAGCTGGAGAGTCGTTTCACTAATAGACCTGATATTTCCTGCCTCCAGTAGGATAATTTTAGAAAGAGACAGGCAATGTTACAGGTAATCAGGAAATCGTATCAGGATATCTCCCCATATTCCTCACTGTCATGCTGAAATGTATAATTCAGTTTCCCCACACTTTCAGACAGCAAGCAAAGCAAGAAAAAAACCACCCTTTTTCCTTCCCCATGCCAGCTCTCTGCTTTACCTTTGGTATTTAAAAAAAAAAAAAAAAAAAGGCTTTTAATGGGGCTGATCCTGAAAAGCAAATCAGTACGAGAAGACCAACTTGTGGAAGACCTCATCACAACGGGGTTGACAGAAACACTCCTACAGATCCTGCCTGTTGCAGTAATAAACATCAGACCACAGCCAGGAACAGGGGGCGAGTCCCACCGATTTCACGTACCGGAGCAGAACCAGAAGCCACGCGTACATGTGCAGATGACTCACGTTTGCCCTAAACCCACATTTTCTGGTTGCTGTAAGGACTTTCACTTTGTTCATTCACCACTGTGTGCTTCCCATGTTGGCTTAGAGAGACCACTGGATTCAAACCTCTGTAGAAAACTGCCAGCAGATATCCCCTTTCTTTGAAATTATATTCTTGTGATTGAGACCGGTATTTGCCAGAAAACTAATAAATTTGAACCTGACAGGAGATGAGTTGCTTATAAAGAAAAGAAAGCAAAAAGGAAACGGTGCATGGAAATATGTATCGCAACCTAGAAAAAGGAAGAAAGAGGTTAGCTTACCTGTTGCAGCAACTGTCACTGCGTAATGATTAAAGCACAGAGAACGTTGCCTTTAATCAAACGTAAGCAAATTAAAATTGCATATTCCCCGTGTATACAATCAATTGCTTTCCCAGAAGTCACTGACATGGAAAAGAGAGATCTGTCTGTAGAGTCCTCACTTGAGTAAAACCGCAGGTTGATTCTGCAAACTGTTTGCTAAATAAATTCTCATTACTGCAGGAGATCATGGCCTTAATTAGCATTAGTTAAATTGGGAACACTTCTTGAACTAGTCATGTTTGAGCTGGATACTCTCATATACAATCTAGAGACTTCTAGTGCACCCAACTTACAGTAATCTTAACGTAACGTAGTACATTGACACAGCACAGTCAGAATCGGATTTTTTCCCCCTTCTGAACAATGCCAACACGCAGCCTGGCCCTTCCTTCCTCAAGATTCCTCACCATCACTGGACTGAATCTCAAACCTGCTCATTCTGAATTCTTAAAATGAGTCCTCATAGCAAGTGTGCAACTTGAGGCAATT